ATCGTCTCTTCGTCTCGCTGTCCTGCTTACCAATGCATTATCCTGCTCTCGGGTACATTGGGATTGAGTAACAGTTGTATTTCCCTGGTACTGTCTGTGATGGGTGACCTTCTCTCTCATCAGAATGGTGGTGTTCCTCTGGGGTGAGCTGCTTATCAAGGACACACTGAGACAGTTCAGAGGCTGTTGGAGGCAGGAGCCAACGTCAACCACCAGAACAAGGTGTGTGTTTTGGTGTCTACACTACAGTATATACATACACACCTATCGTTCTTTCTCTCCTTCGTGTCTTTCCACTCTCTCTCGGTGATGATGACAGCTCAGGTGTACGCAGTAGAAGTGCACGCTTAAAATGTTGATATCTCATGGATATAAGTGTCTCCTTGAAGTAATGGGTATGCATGTCTATTTTGCTGCTCATCGACTTCTTCTCCACACAGGAGGGAAGCACAGCCTTGCTCTATGCAGGATGGAAAGGTCACTCAGAGGTGGTGAAACTACTGCTAGGAGCTGGGGCCAGAGACATTCCTAATAAGGTAAACCAACTCTAAACATGTAGAGAAAAGAGTGTCCTACTGTCTGTCCTGATGAATTCTCTCTCTGCCTGTCTCTGTATATAGTTGGCTATCTTCTCTCTCATCTTCATTGTCTGATGAATGTCTCTCTCTACAGTTTGGAAACACTGCTCTGAGCAAGGCCAGAGCCAACACCACAATGATGTGGTACAGCATCTCTGCAACACCAGCCAAAGTGAAAAGACTAGACCTACAGCCACAGTTACAACTCGTTAGTGCACAATACCTTTTTACGTGACTTTCTCGACCACATTACTTTCTTTACTTATCCGTTCTGTTTTGTAGCACAGATTATTAGCTACTTCTCGAACACGACAACCTGCCCCATGCTAATCGTATATAGCAATACAACCTGGACTATACTTATACTGACAATGCTATTGATCCCTTATCAGAACAGCCATGCTAGCGAGTGTTATTGATAACTGGGCAGTCGATAGTCAAACTGTATGGTCATGTGAAAGGAAACACCTTAATCTGGTGTTAGGTAAGACATGATGAAGGTACACCTCTCGCTTCACACACTCAATATTCATGGCACAAAGATTATCAATTTTGATGGTACTGGGTGAATCATTGTCAACTTGTCAAAAATTGTATTTACTTATCGTTACAGTGACAAGCATAATGTAAGGAGGATGGTACCTTGTAACTAGTACTAGGATGGATTGTGTGTGATAGGGAGTAACTCCATTTGTCACTGTCTGGAGAGTAGCTCTCTGTCCTCCCGCCCTCCATGACCCCTACAACAACAACATCAACAACATCAACCACAACAGCATACATTTGTTGGTGATGGTCTCAGTATTTTTCGTAGGTGACATAGTGAGAAGTGTTTTTGGGCGTTTTACATACCTACACACCAGCAAGCTTGATATACGGCACTCCCTATCATGATTTACTAGGAGCGCACGCGCAATATTTTGCCTCACCCTGCCATCCCCCGGGTGGGCCGCCATGCTAAACAGTCCGACTGAGGCGCTCGTCGCGCGCTCTACTGACTGCCGCACGAAGCTAGACTTCCTACGAATGATGGAAGTATCTATATTCTTTCAACTAGCTCTACCCTTTTGCTGTAGCTCTAGTTAGCATGATCACTAAATGCTTTAATAATGCAATAAGGCATTACCCTTAAACTCATCTTTTCTATCTCTTGGATGATGATAGTTTGCAGAAAAAAGTTGCGCGTGTGACCTTCTATTCAAAGGAAGGTCTCCTATTTTGGTGTCGATTTACCTGGCCTTTTTTAAAAAAAAAAAAATTTTTGGCCTTTAGAATAGTACTACAAACCCCTACCCCTACTATTTGTCTGCGTAACATCATACAGAGAAATGAGGTAGTGTACTATGTTACTCATACAAGATACAATGGTATCTTACATCAAGAGAGGATGGTGGTTTTGAAGAGGTTTGGCCGACTAGAGCAATGATAGCTGCATTGACACCACTACCACATGTGCAACCACTGGCTGGTTTAAGTCACTCCTGACTCTGGAACTCTAGGAGACAGAGGAGGGGAAAGGGGGCTATATTTTTTGCCTACAGCTGATATCAACAACTGTGGCATTTGTAGTCTTGCCAAAGCCATACCACAGGCATTCTGTTTTTTAATGTAGTACAGGGTACTTTGCCTTGTTACCTAGAAAGAGAAATAGCTATCCTAGACTTGCAACCAAAGTTCCTAAAATTTTTAATGGACACTGTACTTTACAGATCTAAAAAATCTATCGAAGACATGGTACACAACTTTTAGAGGTTTCTTTTACCAATGCGATATATGCTCTTCTTTGCTTGACGGAGGGTCCACTTCTAACAATTTCCAACTGTAGGTAGCTAGCATGACTATATCTGACAAATCTTTAACAGAACGAAGGTATTCAGCTTTTAGCACAATTTGTGGAGATTATGAGAATTGTCACTGTACAGAAGACCTGAGCCAGAAGGCCCCTGGTCTTGACAGTACCCCACTGGCAATCCAGTAGTCTGCTGTAATTGGAGGTTGACTGCCCCTTCATTCCTCCCTGGACAGAGATGGGCGGGGCTCGGGACCGCTGCACCTTTGACCCTTGCCCTTCTCCTTGCTCTACAACCTGAGACCAAAGTGGCCCACAGAGTGTACCACTGAAAGATAATTGGTCAACTTACACACATCAAACTTTGCTATACCCAAAGAAAGATTTCCCAATAGACATCATACATTGGCCAATTTCAGGGAAATGTGTCCATCATTCAGAGGCTCGCAGGGTAGCTACCTAATGCACTCTTTTATCTTCTATTAGCCAGAACCAAGTGTCCTTTAAGAGGGTTCTCGTGGGTTGAAGGGTTAGGGTGCTAGATAGGAGTTAGAGGGGAGGATGGGGAATAGGCGAGGGAATGATGGGGAGCCGACATGAGGTGAATTCGAAATTCGAGTGGGGAAGCATTAGGCGGAAAGGTCGGGGAAATGAGTGGAGGGGACTCTAGTAAAAGTATGAAGTAAATTTGGGATGGATGCGGTTGGACCAGTTCAACAGTAGGCGTGTGAGCGTAAGAAGATAAGAGGGTCTTAGGGGAAAGGAGGACTGCGAAAGGGCCATAAAAAGGAAGAGCAAAGGAAAAGTGAGGCGAAAAGCATGGGCGGGGCGGGAGAAGGTTGGGGGGGAGACAGGGGGAAAGGGAATTCACGATTGTTAAAGGTGTGATTAGGTGGGAAGGGGTAGGGAAGGCAAGTCCGAAGTGGGTGGGTAAGAGGGACGAGGTGCACGTAATGGTGTGAGGGCGAAGGGTGAGAAGGGTGGGAGAGAGAGATGAAGGTAAAGATGCATATGGGCTGCCTAGGGAAGGAAGCAAAAAGAGGATAAGACGAAGGAGGGCGAAGGGAGAGCTAAATTAAGACATAAGTGGATGGAAAAAAAAGAGAGGAGCTGGGTAGGAGGGAGTTTCTAAAGGCTTATTAGGGATGAGGATGTAGAAGAGCCATGGGATAAAAAGGAAAAAAGAGTGGTTACAGAGGTGCAGCGCGCTAGAGTGGCGGAGAAGAGGAAAGGAAAAAAAGCATATACATCTAAGCATAAGGGTGGTGGGGGAGGATTGGCTTTTGTGGTTACAGTTTATTAGTCAGAGGGCAGGGAAATGAATTTGCTGTGATTATCGCAGTCCAACAGAAGTGACCTGTTCGTGACGAGATGTGTGGTTATCCAACATCTGCTCATAATTCCTGAGCAAGTGAGGGTTGAAAGATGCAGTGAAATTTCCATCTCCTCAGACTCCCATCCAGCACCGACACTCTCTCGTGACCAAACAACTGTGGGCAGAACAAAATATAACAGCTACTTAATATAAATTTGGGGCTTTCTTAAAACCCTTTGGGCGCCATTTTATATACACAGAGCCTCCATAAGTGCATAAGAATTTATATAATGGCTATAATACTAGGCGCTAATATGTCATACATCAATTTCTGCGTATTTAAGTAGACACCTATGGCGCCCAAAGAAATAGTAGCAGAGATCGTGAAGACAGCTTAGAGTAAGTAATCTCAATGTGCACAAACACCATGAACATACACTACTTGCATCGTTTGCTGCTTTATTCTGCCACTTTTCTAGTCTCGTCTACCTTAGCTCTTGTTTGTACGCAGTGCATGATCCATCAATGTATGTGTGCATGATGGGTCGCGCGCAATAGACAACACTTCAAATTTCAAGCAACATGTTGCAAAGGACGTTACATAGAAGCTGAACTGACTCTGAACATCCACCAGACTCTAGCAGAGGCCATCAGTCCCTCACTGTGTCCATCATATACCACCACATGATCTTCATTACCCACTCCCATCTGGACACATGGAATAGTAGATAGCAACGTCTGCATTAGCTCTCATTACCAGTGGGTGACAGCGCAAGGCAAATGCATTCAGGACGCGGAAGAGGAAAAAAATGCCATGGAACCCACGATAATCCTTTTAATCTCCCAAGCCGACCTGTTATACAAGGAAAAAGGGTCTGGTTTGTGAAACTAACTCTGCTTTTTAAACTGAGTGCTCTACCCACCGAGCTATAATAGTATGCAATAAACCAGCAGGCATGGCTCATAAAATAAAAGGCACCTCAAATACTCTGTGCTATAGTACAGAAATCCATGTGTCCATTACACAATGCAATGTGAGAGTAGTGTTCCATGAGAGAGTGGCCCCTGACCTTGGCCACGAGGGTCTGGAAGCAGTGAGGGGAAGGGATCATGTGAGGATAGGGAGAACTCTGCTCTGACACCTCGTCAATGTCAAGGTGCTGGGCTCTAGCCAATCTCTCACCCAGGAAGGCCGCCCTCCCCTCTCCCGACATGGTCCATAAAGCTGAACACAAGTGATTGTAGACAGCTTAGCTACATCACAGAGTGTGTAGCATCTCTCACCCACCGTCTAGTATTCTGATGTTCTTCTGTCCATTAACCACCTGTTGCCACGTCGCTGATACAAGTGTAGACACCATCCTGCTCTAGTCTCGCGGAGTGTGTGAGTCCGGGGCACCCTACTACAGCTCCGCCCCTCTAGTATTCTGTCCATTATCCACCTGTTGCCTCAGCCACGTCAACTATCATCCACAAAGCTACATGACACCATCCCTATATCTTCGTTTTATTGATATCGAACAAAGATAATAATAGGGATGGTGTTGTGCATCCTAGCTGTGTAATGACCCCTTGTTAACGTTTCTTCCTTTTTGGTGCTTCAAGCCATCCCTTTATCCCCTTCATTTTGTAGAAATGATTTTTCCGATACAGGTACCACAGTTTCCCTGGGTATCTGTACTGGAGTGGACTGTGTCTGACCGCGACCTGACTCTCCTCACTGATAAGACCCTGGCCACATACATCTGGATAGACGCTACTGGACAGGTAATAATCAGAGCGTCGGTAGACGCTCTACATAGGGATGACGCGTGTGAAATCTCACGTGATGCACGTACAAAACACCTCAAAACTCAGCGACAATGACTCACCATGGCTTCAAAATCACTAGCAATAGTCTAGAGGCCAATACCTAGCTATACACATGCCCCAAGACTTCATACGTACCCTCAGTTCCCCACGAGAGAATTCGCACTTACGCGATTTCGCGTTTGTGTCATCATAATCCTTCTTCTTCTTCTTCTTCAGACCCGCTAGCTCCTTACCGGAAGCAGTTGAAGCGTTGATTTTTTCACAGAACGTCTCCAAATTTGCCGGAGGTGTGCACGCACATCAAGCGATCGCTTGTTTCTTGCCGCAAGTCACTACGGTAGATCGTTGAGCTCTTCCACATCAGTGAGCCGCATGCGCAGAGGAGGGCGTTTCCCCAATGCGGTGCGCGCGCATTACTATAGTCTCGTGCGTGAACCAGGTCCTACGAGACTAAGCCGGGAAGCCTGCAGAGGAACTCTTATCCTCCAGTGCCTTCTGTAAGTCAGTATACACATTTTTAACTGACTAGCTTACGTTTTGCTGTTGATTTGTACGAGGAGCAACTTGGCAGTGTGCGCCGCCTTCATTGTTTGTCCCCCAGGTTATAGCTATCATTGTAGTCTGATTACTGGAGCCTGCCTACGAAACCACCCCACCATAATTATGTGCCACAACCTAATTTCATCGTTGTTGGAGACACTACGCATACACCCTGCTTCAGGTACATTAGCTTTTGCTTTCAACAGTTATCTGTACAACACCCATGAACATCAGAGTGGCTGAAAATGCAGAAGGCATGAAAAATAGTGGAAAAAAGTGGAAAAATCATTTCTTCAAAATGAAGGGGTGATATAGGGATGGCTTGATGCACCAAAAAGGAAGAAACAAGGGGTCATTACACAGCAAAGATGCACCAACCTACATGACACCATCCCTATATCTTTGTTATAATAATTATAGCTATAGTTCACAAGTAAAGTTTACTATGAGACAAAGATATAGGGATGGTGTCATGTAGCTTGGTGCATCTTTGCTGTGTAATGACCCCTTGTTTCTTCCTTTTTGGTGCTTCAAGCCATCCCTATATCACCCCTTCATTTTGAAGAAATGACTTGTATTTATCACTAATGTTGGTGTGTGTGGTCAGTTTGTGTTTTGAGTCACCCCATTCTTTCTGTTCTGCTAGCAATTGCGTTCATACATGCATTTGAATGTATTGCACCTTGGTCTGCTCCTGCATATGAACTGTATACCACTTTTATGTGCACCTTAGCCTTTTGAGCCCCGTATGCTGAGCTGCTCTTGAAGCTCAGTTGGCACTCTGCCTAGACTGCCGAGAGTCGTGGGTTCTATTTCCTGTTCTTTTGTCCTGGGATATATGTGTTGTTTTCCGATAAGTCTGGACCTGGAACCAGCTTGTGGATGTTTCTGAAACTATATCCTTTACTCGAAATTACTCATGTGTACCAATGTCTCTATAAGCAGTCGTGAATGTGAAAGCTTTGTGAGGTATTATGTGCTACGATGTACTCACATTTTACTACAGTACGTGTATAAATAGTACTTGCTGTATATACGAACAACTTTTTGTTGGTTGGTCACTTGGACTGTTAACAAAAGGGGTACAGATTTGTAGTTAATGCTCCTTGGTTCTTTGACTGAGGCTCCTTCTTCGATTTGGTCTGTCAGAAAACACTGTGCATAAAGAAATGGATTGCTTCCTACCTTTTACAGGGTGGTTGGGTAGTAATGGCAACCATGCATGGTTGTTCTCTAGTGCTTCCCACTAATCCCCTGACTAAGGGTAAGGTGATATTGCTGTGGCTTGTTCAAAGGAATACCCACTTCTTCTGATTTCACATGTGTGAGTATTAAAACAACGAGGTAGAAAGGCAAAGAAGCACAGCAACTACACCCAGGACAGCTCTTTTTTCCAAGGGAGAAAGAAGAGCTGCCCCTAGGTAGGATTCGAACCCATGACACTCTGCAGTCTAGGTGAGTGCTAGCGCTCTACCAACTGAGCTACTAGGACAACTCAGCTGATAATCTACAACACAACTCAAACCACTATGCTAACTCTCACTCAGTATGTAGGAGCAGACCGGGGTATATGGACATGTTATACTAGGTGAATGTTTTGTATGTTTTGGCCAGCAGGAGCATGCAAACTGTTGTGAGTCACTGCTTGATGGGGACACATTTGATTGTGCTTGACTAGCCAATCTGTATACCTGTCTGTTTTCACCAGTATAGTAGTAGAGCAATTGTCTGAGCTGTATGTATGTGTCGTCAGAAAAAAAGAAGAAAAAAAACAGTGTGCTTTGCCGGAGCTACTATGTATGTATGAATATACGTATGTACGTATGACGTCAGAAAAAAATAGCGTGCATCGCCGGCTATTTATGTGTATGTCATCAGAAAAAAATTACAACATATAGAATAGTGTGCATTGTCGGAGCTACGTATGTATGTATGGCTTCAGGTTTTATTATAATTGGCTCGCTCCTCCTTACCAATATGCACCGGGATATATTATGAGAGACATTATAATTATACACATGCTTACGTACTTTTTTGAATTCTACAATGTGTGGATTTTCTGGTAGCAGTGGCTCTGGCTGTTTGTCTCCACAAATCAATTTGGCATACTATGTATATTATATAGAACTTGACTCTACATTTTCTATCGTTTCATTCTGTGTCGCTGTTTGTGGTTTTCAGAATGTGAGATGTAAGACCAGAACTCTCTCTTGTCATCCCTGCTCGGTATCCGACTTTCCCCAGTGGTCCTTTGATGGCTCCAGGAACTATACACATTGAACAAATAAAATTCATACCCACGACACTCTGCAGTCTAGGTGCCAGTGCTCTAGCTCTAAGTTTTTGCACTATCTTGTGTCTCTCTTGCATTCAGACTGCTATATAAGTATACAAGCTCGTCTTGCACATTTGCCATGTCAACACCACCTTTCTACTCCTACCCTCACTTTAATCATATCCTCACAGCACTTCCCAGGCCAAAGGTCATGACAGTGACGTTCTCCTGAAACCAGTCAACTTCTATAGAGACCCTTTCTTCCTGGTCTGCATTGACCTCTATAACTAGTGTCAATGTGTTTGGTGATCAATCTCAGCATCCTAATGTATGAGAAAAGGCCAACATTGATGGTCTCATGCAACGTAAATGTATGGGTATGATGTGTCTGCATGTTTGATGCAATAGACAACACTCCCTTTGTCATGCAACATGTTTCATGGGCTATCATATACCCAGCTATGGTTGCATTCGACTTTTGACATGTGCCATGTACATATTGGCGTTAGTCGGCATATAATTTGTATGTAGATATTTGTTCTTGTTCTTCATGGACTTCATAGGATTATGTGATGTTATTGCTAAGCTATGGACTAAAAATTCGGTGGTTGTTGTGCAGAAATTCTGCGGTTGTTGTGCAGGGTAACAGTATCCTAGTGATGTGTGAGACGTATTCCAAGGACGGGACACCTCACCCTACGAACAAGAGATACTCTTGTGACAGGATAATGGAGAGGTGTGTACTACTGGAGTTCACCATATTACGTGACGCAACTTCAAATGTATTACGTGTGCATGCAACATGCATGATGCGAGCATTAGAGGAATTCTTCCAAATTCATGCAAATTTCCTGCATGGCCTATCATATCCACACATTTGAAGTTGGCTGTGATTTTGACAATGTAGCATCGTGTATTATGGTTTTACGTAACTTAAGCCACAAAGAAAGGGGAATGAATAAACAAGCACCACATTCTCCTCATTAGACATGAACACACAGTAAAGCGTATATGACCTCAGTTGGTAGAGCGCTCGCCTAGTGTGTTGGGTTCAAATCCCACCCAGGGCAGCTCTTCCCTTTTCCTTGGAAAAAAAGAGTTGTCCTGGGTGTAGTTGACTTGTTTGCTTTGCCCTTGCCATTCCACGTCTCACATTTTTGTTGACACATGGAAGTAAAACACCCACACACTCTCTACCAACTATTTAAACCTCATAGCATCTGCGTAGTTTAATTTACATGAAAACTCTGTCAAAACAAAATGATTGAAAGCAACACATTTTTGGTGGCTTACATGAACAACTTGTTACAGTATGATACAATGCAGTATACACTCAGCAATTCAGACCACTACATACGTAGGCTCAGCCGCACTCTCCAGTTATATACTGTTCTACTAATGTACGTATCTGTGTGTCAGAGTGATGGATGAGGAGAACCCAGAGTTTGCCATAGAGCAGGAGTACACTCTACTGGCCAAAGTTGGGCTACCCTGGACAGCAAGGTCCCTACTACTGTGCCGTGGGAGCCACCAACGTCTTTGGGAGACAGGTCTGCCCCACCCCACATTGACACACACACACACACACAGTGGCGGATCCAGGGGGTTCCTTTGGTTCTGCGGAACCCCCATTTTTGTCGTCTTGGCCTTGTGCACGAGTGCAGTCGAAAGTGTTCTGGACAGCGGAACCCCCCCCCCCCTTCCAAATCTAGATCCGCCACTGACACACACACACACACTGTGATGTACGTATAAGGTGAGCTAAATTTTTCGTACTTTTAGTGAGTACACAAACAGAAGGACAGGCTAACAAACCATCCTAAATACCTTGACTAGAGCAGGAGAGAGCAGTGCAAGCCACCCTCAATTAAAAAATTGGGTGGCCTAGATTTTGTATGAAGGTGGGCTAAATTTTCGTACTTTTAGTGAGTACACAAACAGAAGGACAGGCTAACAAACCATCCTAAATACCTTGACTAGAGCAGGAGAGAGCAGTGCAAGCCACCCTCAATAGTTACTGTTAAAAATTGGGTGGCCTAGATTATGTATGTATAAGGTGGGCTAAATTTTCGTACTTTTAGTGAGTACACAAACAGAAGGACAGGCTAACAAACCATCCTAAATACCTTGACTAGAGCAGGAGAGAGCAGTGCAAGCCACCCTCAATAGTTACTGTTAAAAATTGGGTGGCCTAGATTTTGTATGTATAAGGTGGGCTAAATTTTTCGTACTTTTAGTGAGTACACAAACAGAAGGACAGGCTAACAAACCATCCTAAATACCTTGACTAGAGCAGGAGAGAGCAGTGCAAGCCACCCTCAATAGTTACTGTTAAAAATTGGGTGGCCTAGATTTTGTATGTATAAGGTGGGCTAAATTTTTCGTACTTTTAGTGAGTACACAAACAGAAGGACAGGCTAACAAACCATCCTAAATACCTTGACTAGAGCAGGAGAGAGCAGTGCAAGCCACCCTCAATAGTTACTGTTAAAAATTGGGTGGCCTAGATTTTGTATGTATAAGGTGGGCTAAATTTTTCGTACTTTTAGTGAGTACACAAACAGAAGGACAGGCTAACAAACCATCCTAAATACCTTGACTAGAGCAGGAGAGAGCAGTGCAAGCCACCCTCAATAGTTACTGTTAAAAATTGGGTGGCCTAGATTTTGTATGTATAAGGTGGGCTAAATTTTCGTACTTTTAGTGAGTACACAAACAGAAGGACAGGCTAACAAACCATCCTAAATACCTTGATATATGGAGGTCGCAATTGACTGCATAAACCCAGACACAGAAAGTATTGTTTACAATTTCCTGTCATTACCACGTCATAGCTACTGCACTTTCTCCTCTTTAGATTTCAACACACCTCCAAGTGTAAAAGCTTCTGATGAATATTCAGAAGGTATGCTAAACTATATAAAACTGTTGGCTTATTCTTAGATGAAGTAATAAGCACTTCCCCACAGAACATTTAGTTTATTTATCAAACTCAACACCAATTATTAATATTACAGATTCCAGTACACCCCAAAGTGAATCAAAAGTCACTGAATCAAAAGTCACTCAATCGAAAGTCACTGGTTTTCCAGGTGACTCAAAGGGGCCATCAAAGAAGACAGTTGTCATTGCAGCAACAGTCAGTAGCACAGGATTTATCCTCATCTGCTGCATTGTCATAGTGAGCAGTGTGGGTGGCTGGGTTCTCTACAGACGTAGGAAACAGCAGCAGCAGAAAGAGATGGAGGAAGAGGTGTACAAACTTCTCGACAACGAATATGTTGAAATGTAGCTAACACAAACTAACAGCTCATCACAAGATTGAAACGTTTATGTAACTATGACTAAATTTGTTTTGCCTCTTTAGTGTTGTATTATCAAACAAAGTGGTATTAACTGCATTGCCAGGTGGCACAGTTACATGTTGAGAGTGCTGCAGTGGTGGGGATATGGGATGTAAGATTATTAACCCTCGGCGGCACGCATGCGCAGCGAGGGTTACAGTACTTGGTCTGTCCGTCTGTCTGTCCGTCTGTCCGTCTGTTACCACGTTTTCTGCCACCACGCACGACAAACAGGTAAAATAGCGACACCAACGGGTTCAGCGCTACACTGGCTTCATTTTTAATGCTGTAGACTTACTACACCGGCTCTAACCCCTGCCCACGCCCCTCCCTCTTCAAGTGAATGATTCTTTGTTCATGGGGTGCTGTAAGTGAGTTGCAATGGTGAAGATCACTTTTCTCTTCGAATTCTCGACGTAAGTGATGCGATGATTCATGATTGGTCAAGACGGTTATTAACTAGTAGAAGTATAGCGTAATGATTAAAACATGTTTCACACATTGTCACACAGGATTAAATGATTAGCTACATATTATATACATGGAAAAATTTGGAGCATGAAAAATGCCTCAAGCTCCACAAGCATGCAACATTACAATAGTGTGTTCTTGCTCAACAAATCTTTAAATTATTGTCAGACTTCTTCCGCCCAATCAGTGGAAGTGTCAGCATGCCGTGGAAGAAGTTTGTACTGCCTCACTCCCACAGACTTTCTGCGACCGCGGACACAGCAACAGCAGCAGACAGAGCACACAAGAGTCAGTAGTAGGAAGATAACCAGTAGCAAACCTCCTCCACCAGCAGACAGGGCAATAAGAAGCGCATCGTCTGTTGCTGCATCATAATAGGTTACACACATTAGCTACTTTGTGCACTGTTCAGCAGGGAACTTATTATCATGGCTTATGATGCTGAGCTTAGTACTGTCTAAACTGCTCTAGCATGAAAGTAATTGCTTTAACATATAGAAGAGTAAGAGTAGTGCTTACTTGACACCGAAGGTGGGACAGTGGCAGGGGGAGTGGATGAGCTGACTGGAGCCACACGGAGAGAAGACGTGGTGGCTGGGATGGTTACACTACTGATTATGGGCTTTGGGTAGCTGTCCCCAACACTTCCGTTGAGAACAAAGTTATTATCTTCCGCCCCTCCGACCACTGACAGGTAGACGACTTTGTCTGTTAGTTCCACCACAGGAGGAGCAGTGCTTGGGACCACAGTTGGCTGTGGTGCCAGGGTGGTGGTTGTGGTAGGGGCTCCACCAGTAGATGGTTCATACGTGGAGGAGGGATGAGTGTTGGGTGGAGGAAGGGGCCGTGGGATCTTGTCAGGGTCTATATACCTATTCTTGCAGGTCTCGGTATCTGAGGTGTTGGTTTCAGAGCCAAACTCGAGGACAAAGTCGTAGAAGGCACTGTTTGGGTTGGGAACGGAGAAGGAGCCGTAGACCACGACATGGCCGACTGAGATACAGACTCTGAGGGTGATCCCGGCCACTGGGATCTGGTAGTGGTAGCGAACTGTCTCGTTCTGATCCAGTGTACCGTTCATCTGCTCGTCTGTGTCAGCAGGTAGTGTTGCTGCAGAAGTAGGGTACAAGAGGAAAGTACACACAGTTAGAAAACAATGGGCAGCAAAGTAAACTAGCTATTTATCATTCAGGGCCGAGGGTATTATTACTCTCATGAATATCATAATAGTAAACCAATACGGCATTTTCCCTGCATGCACATTTTTTGCTGACTATCTAGCTGTATCAGGTAATGATGCATAACAGACTAAAGCATACCTCTCTTGCACACTTCGTCAACATGACTCTCCTGTGTTTCTTGAATAATATGCTGATCAAAAGAGTTTATGTATGTGACGAAGTCAGGTGAGGTAGCAATGGCATTCAGTTCCACATCATTCACGCTGCTGGTGACACCAATTGCATAGACAAGGACCGGTGGAGATAGTTCGTGGACTGCTTCCGCTGCCTGCAGAGTGTTCCACTGACACTCTGATGACTCTTGGTTTGACTTGCCATCAGTCATGATGATTGCTATCCTGAACACTGCCCCTGACGTTGGTCTAGCTCCATGTCCATCTGCAAAACCGTACCGCACCAGCTTGCACAGGCCGTCGGCCGTGTTTGTGCTGCCACTAGGGTAGTTTATGTTTAGTATCTGAGACAGAATGTCAGCTTTGTTGTTGTAGGCATTCAAATTGAAAATAACACTCCCATAGTCACTGAAAACAATTGTTCCCACTTGGTTATCGTTTGGACCAATACTCAGTTGATCCACAAAGTCATGTTCAAACTGGCGCACTTGACTGAAGTCAGTGTCACCAATGCTGCCAGATCCATCAAGGACAAAGAAAATGTCCAAATTGACTTTGCAGCCTGCATGAAAATACATAGCTACATACATAGCTAGTAAGCCTGATTCACTACAGCACCTTCTCTCTCTTCCAGTATATCAACTTGCTCCACGAAGTATATCTCCGTATCAGAAACTCCTCCTACATCAGAGTGGTAGTAGGTGAGCCAGAACCGAGCTTGCCCCACGATGTCTCCGGCCAGAGGAATAACGGCAGTCCCCGAGATTTCGAGGTAGAAAAGGTACAGTCTCGCAACCAGTCCCGCGAAGAACGGCTTGCCGAGATCGTTTATCGTCACGGTTCCCCAGTCGATACCGAACGCTGCACGGATGGCGATCCTCAATTCCTCGAGTTGTGGTGACGAGCTGACCGTGTCCAAGTGGCTCTGTTGAATACCCCAGAGCCCACCACTAGAGTAGCTGCTGTTTGCGCCGTCTGACGTCTCGACAAACGCCAGTCTCCTCAGGAAACGGTGGTCGTCTCCGAAGGCGATGCGGGACGCGTCCACCTTGGCGATCACAGCCTGAACCACGTCCGAGCCAGTCGCTCCGTCTACTAGCGTACGATCTAGTGCATCTACCCCAATGAAGGGAGATAGAAGCATAAATAGCGGCAGCAGCACCATTATTAGCCACGGCGAATAGGGGGTGTTACTTAGTCTCGTGCCCAGACCCCGCTCTCTCAAGAGAGGAAAAGGGTCTGGTGACTATTGAGCGTTTGGTTGTGCTGACTCGACAGTCTTACTTTTGGGACACCCAATCAGATTGCAGTATTTGCCACGACCGTGAAATATCACATGATGTTATGTAATAGATCGTAACGCAGCTTCGCGGATTCTCGAACGAAAACGGGCTTTTCTGCGCATGCACTCGACAATGATGAGTCAGCACAACCAAGAAAACGCTCAATAGTCATCCCCTTTTGCTGCATGCATGAGGGTGGGGTCTGGGCACGAGGTTTATACGGCGACCACACCACCACCGCGGCGGATAATTATTGCGCTTGCGCAAGAGGGCCGAAACTTCAATTCAGGAGCGACATCTTCCTGGTGCAGTGGTGCGTTAAGGGGGTTGTTCGAACACCCATATCACCCCTGGATACGCTACTGGCCATCGCTATACTGACCACCCCGTTCAGACGTTTGCTCCGGCCCCTTCGTCCATTGCCCATGCGCGCGCCCCCTCGCGTCGCTACTTTTTACCACGATGTGCGTGAGTGCTTCGGACAAGGCTTCGAATTGAGGGAGCATTTCATAGCTCTGCACTATCATAGATGATGGATACGTGGCACACAGCCGGCCTGTGGCCCAATTGATAGGTGACTAAGGTGCAGAATCCATTTTATGATGATGTGCAGAAGACAACACAGTGTTGCGCGCGGTGGTGGGTTTTCCCCGTATTCATGCTTGCATGCGCGCGTACTGGTCTTGAAAGCTGAACATGAGAAACCCCTGGTGTCTGGCCATTCACGGGATAACAAGTCGGAGCAGTCGTTTTCGGAGATAATTCCCACGTGATGTTCACCATGTCTGAACATGATAACAAGAACGATTTACTGCTCGCCATCAAAGGACTTGAGGATGACATACGTGATATTAGAGGGACTCAGCAAACAAACACGGCCGAAGGACTGAGTGAGACACTTGCTGCTTTTCAGTCGGACACACGACCATCCGACACAGTGTAGGTGCAGCTGTCAGATTAATCTGACGCCACTAAAGAGGAAGCTGGGAGATTACACACTCTCACTCCTCGTGTCCATACGTATGCGATTGGTATTGGAACAGTTGATGTTGACGAGATGAAAGCAATTGCTGGTGATCGGAATAACTACACACATATCGATGGCTTTGATCCAAGTGAATTTAATATTGTCAGGTGGAAATTCCTTAAAGACATTGCGTAAAAAGGTAATTTGTGCAATAGGTAAGCAAATAAAGTGTTAAGGGTTATCTTCTTTTGCCACCCACACAGCAATTAGTAACATCAACGGATTTAGGTGGCTAAATGGAGAGAAGCCCCCCGATCGGAACCGCGAAGCACAGCAAACGCGACCACGCGGACCGCCCGCGATGAACCGGGGGAGTCTGACGAAGTGCCTCACCGAGACACCCTGGGCCCCGCGATGCTAGCACCGGCGCGCGGCGTGTGAAAAGTAGTTCAACGGAAGAAACAGGCGACCGGCCAGTCGAGCTGATCCCCGCCAAAGCGGGACGGGGAGTCCATTGATGACGGAGCGGGGTCGGTCAGCGGGGGATACAGTTCGATGACGATGTTTCGCAGCGCGCTTCCCCCCATGTATCTTCACGACGTGTACCACAGGCGGGATTGAAACTTGATGGTCCGGGGATCTGGTCTTGAACACTTCACCAACGCCGTCGGGCAACTGATGGAGTTCGTGGCCCCCATCACCAGCACCACCCGCCTGCAATTGCGAATGCCGCTCCCGCGTGTCACCGGGTTCAGAGCCGATCCTCGAACACGAATAGTAGCCGTCGCCGTAGTGGAAGCAGTTCATTTATTGCCAGCGGCGATGGCAAACGAAGGAAACCTCGACAGCAAGGATAGCCGGCCCCCTCAGGTTGACCTCGGAGAACTCGCGGCCGCGGATTTCGTAGGACTCGCCGAATCGGCGACCGAAACCTCGGCGTAGTCGAGACGGAACGGGGAACCCCGGAAGGAACGACGCTCAGGTCTCCGAAAGCCACGATGTCCGGTCCCCCGCAGCCGGTTCCACCGCCCGCACACGGCGCGGCACGTTACGGTGCACGGTGGCATAGCCGTTATCGAGACCAGGGTGTCATCCTCGGTACGGGCGAAGGACGGAGAGCCCCGACCACCAAGCGCGGCAGAAGAAGGCAATAGGAAACGACGCATCCTAGGAACTACCCACGACGGCCCAGGAGCGTCGTGGGAGCCAAAGGAGCGCCGGTCTTCAGGCCCCACAGGGAGAGAACTGGCCAGCATCGCGGCCGGACCGCGAAAACCCCATCGCCAAACCAAGAAAGCGCCGGGGACGGCCAGGAGCGCCGGTCTCAGACCGGCACTCGCCGCAGCCGCGAAACTCCCATCGCTAATCGAGCAAGAAGAGCGGGGACGGAGGAGCGACGACATCAGCACCCCACCGCCGATACGATACGACCGGATTCCCAAACATAGTTTGGGAAGAGGGATTTTAAAAGGCGCAGACGAGAGCTGTCGCAGCGTTGCCCTCAAGCCATTCTCGCGGCGGTCTTGGAATGCCGGGCGCGGCAGCCGCGCAAGAGGCCGTTCCACCAACCCCGGACCGAGAGTCCGGGGCGCCCCGGGCATGAACGCATCGCCCTTACCCGACCCCGGATCTCGCTACAAGCGGGGGGAAACCGGCTACCTCCGCTGGGACACGAGTCCATTCGGAGTCTCGGCTAACCGCGACGGGACAACCAGCGCTACCGGATCGACCTCGAAATCGAGGGACTGCCAGAGCCGGAGTCACTCGGCGACTATCGCGACCTACGCGCCTGGGCGACCTCGGTCAGACCCGGTGGTAAGCTGGGCGAGGTCGGGAACGGAGTCTTCCCGGACTCGGACCGGTGGTGTCGAAAAGTTCGTGATCCGTGAGCGCCGAGGCTTGGCACACGACGAGACCGCGCCGGCCCCGCCTGGCCCTCCGCGGGGCCCCCCTCACCCGCATCCTCCACGACAAACACCTCATGGTGCCGGTCAGCGCACCGGAGAGAAAAGAGCGGGGCCCGAGATGGATCACGCCGGATGGACATGCGGGATGGGGCAAGGGCACGCCTCCGCAGAACCCGGCGTGGTCGCATCCACCACAGCTCACGGAGACTCCCATGATACGGGGCTCGGACAACCTGCGGCCGGAACCCCTTCCCTCCCGCCCGAGCGTGGGCCGGATGAAAATCGCTCCCCGACGCAATCCCCTCCCAGAATCGTCCCCTACGGGACGGCCAGACGCTAGACCCTGCTGCCGCAGGGTGCGCGCCGGATCCACGCCCGAGATACGTGATGTACGGGTTAAAAAAGCCAAGTACCCGGGCCCGTTTGATCCACGTGGACCAGGACTCCACGATCTTCGTCAACTTCGAGAACCAGACGTCGGGCCGACCGCGAATTCCAATGGCACGGGGTGCGCCTCGACAACGCCTTCGACGGGTTTGACCCCACCTGACCCAGGACCAGGTGCATCCGGCGGGCGTTCGAGTACCGGATCTTCTTTCCGGATGCCGGCCTCTACTGGTACCACCCCCACCATCGCGAGGAAGTGCAGCAGGACCTCGGTCTCTACGGAAAACATGCTGGTGGAGGCCCACGCCGGCGAGGGTACGCCGCCGGTTCACCGGGAGGAGATCCTCATGCTGGACGATCTCCTGATCGCCGACGATGGGGGGCTGTTCCCCTGGGGCGCGGAAGCGCGCCACCCACTCGCTCATGGGCCGCTCGGAAACCTGTTTCTCGTGAACGGCGAGCCCGACTACGAACTGGATCTCGACCGGGGCGAAGTAGTCCGCTTCTTCCTCACGAACGTCTCCAACACCCGCACCTCAATCTGTCGTTCGGCGAGCGCGGCACCCATCGCATCAAGGTCGTCGGTCCGACCTCTCGAAATTCAACGCGAGGCAACCTGGGTGGATTCGGTGACGATGGCGCCCCCCCGAGCGCTACATCGTCGAGGTGCCCTACGAGACCGGAGGGCGAGCACGCCCTCGAGAAACGGGGCGCCCGCTCGAAGCACGCCCTCGGGAGCCATTTCTCGCGGGTCACCCGCCTGGGAACGGTTGACGGTGCGCCCAAAGCGGAATGCGATCCGGCGGTGCGCCCGGACTACCGACGAACACGGGAGAAACGCTCCCGTCGTCGCGGATGTAGCGCCGTTACCGCGAGACTTCGACCGGGCTCCCGACTACGAACTGTCGCCCACGATTGGAGCCTCGGGGCTCTCGACCCGGCCATCATCAGGAGGATGGCGCCCGACGGGTATTCTTCCCCGCGGTAGAGTGGGCGGACCAATGCCGAAGATGAACTCGGTGGCCACCCCGAAGAGGCTATCGCGATCGTGCGCGAGAACTAGAAAGGCCGGGAGGACATGGACATCCGCGTGCGCGTTTCCGGGTCGGCGAAGTCGTCACGATCCACATCGAAAACGAATCAGTCCGACCCCTCACGCAATCGCAGCAACCACTTAACATCCACGGCAGCGGTCCATGTGCTGCCCGCCAGGAAACGGCACGCCGGTAAGGAATCAGGTGTTCAAGGACACACAGTCCTCATCCCGGCCGGTGAAACGGTTGGAACCTCATGACTCAGAGATCACGAAACCCCGGGAAGTGGATGGCGCCACTGCCCATCGCGGAAACACATCGAAGCCGGCAGAACGCTTCGTCTTCGAAGGGACCCGTAGGGGGACAGCTGTGTCACACGGCACCGCCCGACGGGGAGGCGAGAGGGCGCGGTGTGTCTGACGGTATTTGTTCCCTCTCGCCGGGGACTCGGAAGGTAGGTACGAAGGAGCCGAAGGCAAGGGAACGACGACCTCCGGTCGGCATCGTGTGGAAGCGCAGAAAAAAACGCCGGTGATGTCTGCTATGACAAAGTGCGTCCCCACCATCTTCTGGCATGGCCAGAAGCGGTTGCGAGCCAAACTGATCATGAGCATTTGTTGTGGATGCAGCGCAGGCGTAGGTCCGCCGGAAGCGGGCAAGACAATACTCTGTCTCACGAGGGGCGGCGATAACGGGAGGGACTTATCTTCCGATGGACCTGGCCGCGCCGACAATCGCCCAAGACTACAAACATACGTGTCACTAGTTGCCCCCTGCGCCCGCGAGAGTCTCGTGGATCCGCCACAAAAGAGTATCCAGCGCCCGAGAAAGCAAAAACCTTGCCCTCACGACCCCCCGCAGCCTGTCCAGAAAACTGCAACACAGGTGTTGCCTCGACCCTGATCGCGCCCTTTCGAGCTTAATGACTCGGACGAAGCCCTGAATGCCTATTGACGATCCATCCATCGCTTTTCCCTGGAGGGCAATACGGGAGTTACGCAGTGCTTCTGGTCCGGCGTATCTAGAGCTGCGGGAATGACCGACCGAGATGGGATGGTAAAAAACTGGATCTCGTACGCAAGATAGCCGACCTTGAATCGGGAAGCATGCGATCCTAGCCCCCCAAGACGCGGTACCACCGACAAAAGACGGGACCCTCCCGACTATCCATCTCTAGAACAAGCCAGCTAACACGCCATCTGGCGTCCAGCAGCTCCT